CAAGCAGCTCGGTTATATTGGCAATGATAATAAATCTATGGCCATAACGGGATTGAGTTGTCACTCAATCTAATTTATTATTCTGATCATTAGTCCAATAACTGAATACAAATTATAAAGGACATCAAAGGTTGACACTACTTTTATACATCAGTGGTAACCATACTATTGATAAGTAGCAATTCTTCTCTAAATCTCTACTTGTTGGGTAGCCATAATGTCTTGCTAGAGGCCAATCTTGGTCTGTGAATAATGAGAGAATGTTGGGCTAGAGTATTAAGATCTTCGATCATATCGAGGAGGTGAATAGTTAAGCTCTAGGTTCTATGAATACTTTAATGAGTGTGGGATAGTATCACAACTCACTCTTTCTCATACACCACGACACAATGGTATGTTTGAAAGGAGGAATATGACCTTACTTGATATGGTTTGGTCTGATGAGTTTTACTTATCTACCCACATCATTCTAGGGTTATGCCTTAGAGACTGCGACCCATATACTAAATTGTACGCCATCAGAGTTTGTAGATAAGACTCCATATGAGCTATGGAGTGGGCGAAAGCCTAGTTTGTCTTATTTAAAGAATTGGGGTTGTGAAGCTTATGTCAAAAAATTGATTTTGAACAAGCTAGGCTTGAAGTCTAATAAATGTTGTTTTATTAGGGTATCCTAAGGAGACCAAAGGATACTATTTCTACCACCGAAAAAAGCACAAAATTTTTGTTGCTTGTATTGGAGTCTTCTTAGAGAAGGAATTTCTTCTAAAAGGTACTAGTAGGAGAAAAGTAGAACTCAGAACTCAATGAAGTTCTACTACGACAAGATACATTAGATGAAGAACGAAATTATGTGCCACAAGATGCGGTTGAACATCATGAGGAGGTCATTCAACAGTCTGTGGACCAAAGTGAACCACCTCAAGTTGCAAGGAGCTACGTAGTGTTAGAGTATGTGCCCTAAAGCCAATCAATTATTGTAGAATTGAATCTTTGTAATAATGTTCATTGATTAATAAAATGCATTTTATTCTATAACGTGTAAATCATATTGTATGTATTGATATATGTCGTTAGGATGGTAGAACTGTGACGAGGGTATCAAGTGTTTCAAATCTTGATAGTGAGAACCCTATGATCACATATGGTGGCCATTCTAGAAATGTTTGTAGCCCCAGTATCATTTTGACCAAGGGCACATATAATATGGTAAGGCTATCATAATGTTGAATGACCCTATTGAATGGCAGTAACTAATCTCACTTGCCTATTCCTCATTGGAATAAGGTTTTGACACATGCACTATATAAGTGCATGTGTGTTGAAGAAGATGATTCAACTTTTATTATATTCATTCTTATTGAAAAGTGGCAGACCTCTCTCCCATTTTCTCTCACGTTTCCCTTGGGGTTTTTTGAATCAAAGATTTCCTTTGATTTAAACTTGATTCTTGAAGCCAATAGAGGATTTAGCAAATCCCCCTTTGGTTCTTTGAATTGTCTTCGTGTGGATCACTATGCGTTCGGTTCTAAGTTGAATCGGTAGCAAAGTAGATTCAGAGACATTTGAAGAAGCCTCCAAATGTGCGCAAGATCTTTGATCCTTGAATGTTTCGTTTATATTTTGTGCAGAATGTGATTTAACATGTAAACTATTAGGAAACGACCCGGTTGCGCAGCGAAAAACAAAAAATTACAACCATGGATCGTTCCTTAGAACCCAAAATCAGGGCATAGAAAATTACAGTTTATATTTTACAAGAATCTATAGAAAAATAAATCCAAAGTTTAGATTTATACCCACGTTGGAGGCTCCACCAATATTGTCTCTGAATGTGTTTGCAACCGATCCAAGTGTAGGATCGAACCAAGAGGTCCACACGAAGACAATCACCAAGAACCAAGGTGGGATTTGCTAGATCCTCCTTGGCGTTAAGAAATCAAGAAGAACAAAAGTATTTGATTTTGGCAACAACCAAAACTGGCGTGGGAGAGCATTTGGGGTGCTGTATTTTTCTCTTTTTAATCAAAATGAAATAATGAAAACCCTTAGCAATTTTTCAACTAAAACTTTTCTTTTATAATGTTTTTTTAGTTGACCTATTCCCATATGGAATAGGCTTGGGCTACGACCCAAACACCCCATGTTACCAAACACTCCCAATTAGATATTTATTTAATTCATCATTATCTTCAATTAAAATTAATTAATATTTAATTAACATTTAACAATAATGATGATTTAATTAAATATGTGCGAACACACATTTAACCGCAATTTCACTTATTTAATTTTCTAACAAATTAAATAAAGGCTATGACCCCAGCAAATTTAATTGCACTGTAAAATTACCAAAATACCCTTTTGCCTAAAAAGACGAAAACACCCTTCATTCTTCTTGGCTCTTAAATTATCTTCTATGTGTGTGACCCATAGGCTCCTCATCATACCGGCAGTGTATAGTATCGCGATTAACACCAATTAATCATCTCACTAATACACAGACCAAGATTGGCGCCTAGCAAGGCATCATGGCCACCTGATATATTCGGATTCAACAAAGTAGCTACCTATCAACGATATGGTTACCGTATAATTCGATCATTTCATCAAACGTTATCTCGACAAGACGAACGCATAGAAATAGTGTCAACCTCCGATTACTCTCGATATTATGTATTCAGTTTCTGGACCAATGACCTGTATTATAATCCAGATAGAGCAACAACTCAATCCCACTGTGGCCACAATGTTAGTGTCATTGCCATATATTGAATTACGCCGTGAGATAACTTCTCCTGTACCCGAGAGTGATGAATCCTCTGTCTATCCACCATTGTCTTGATACACTCCTTGATGCAACCAATCACCACCGTATTGACAGCTCTGAAAAGAATTGTGTTAGGCTAGTGTCAAACTGCACCAATTGGTGCACAAAGCACTCCGGTGATCTCAAGTCTAAGGATCACATGCATCACCAGTCGTTAGAGGATTTGTTCCATAAACACTGGGGTTACCATCCATATGAAATCCTATGGTGGGTCAGTCCAGTGAACTTGCTGCGGTGTATTCGCCTACAGCAAGCACCCATGTGTTGCACCAGGTTGTCAACAAACAACCTTGACAAGTGAGATCAATCACTGCCTTTCGACAGGGTCGTTCAACACTATGATAGCCTTACCGTATTATTTGTGCCCTCACTTCAAAATAATACTGGGGCTACGGACGTTTCTAGAATGGCCACCATATGTGCTCATAGGGTTCTCACTATCAAGATTTGAAACACTTGATACCCTCGTCACGGTTCTACCATTCTAAGGACATATATCAATACATATTGCAATAATAATGATTTACGCGATATAGAATAAAATGCCTTTTATTGATTAATGAACATTATTACAAAGAGTCAATTCTACAATAATTGATTGGCTCTAGGGCATCTACTCTAACATAAACTATGTAATCTATACCCTGATTTTGGGCTTTAAAGGAATTGATTTATCCTTTAATTATTGTTTTTTTTTTCGTTGCATTGGATAGATCAATTCCTAACACATAGGTCAGGGAGACTATGTCATGAGCTCGAGAGATAGGGTTTTCTTGTGACTCAGCATGGCGACGTACTGGTCTACCAAGATGATAAACCTAGAACCTATGATGTCATTATATCGGATCAAGATTCTGCTAATCGGCTTGAAGCCATGAAATCTGAGATGGACTCCATGTACTAAAATCAAGTGTGGACTCTAGAGGATCCACCTGAAAGGGTAAATCCCATAAGGTGTAAATGAGTCTTCAAGAAGAAGATTGACATAGATGGTAACGTGCATACCTATAAGGCACGATTGGTTGCCAAAGGTTTCAAATAAGTTAATGGCATTGACTGTGATGAAACCTTTTCATTGGTTACGATGCTGAAGTCTATCCAGATTATGCTTGCGATTGATGCATATCATGATTATGAAATTTGGCATATGGAAGTCAAAACAACTTTCTTGAACGGAAACCTTGAAGAGGATGTGTATATGACACAACCTGATGGTTTCATTCTTTGATGGACAATTTAATAAGATATGCAAGTTGTAGAGGTCCAGTTATAGACTCAAGCAAGCTTCAACGCACTGGAACATTTGTTTTGATGAAGCTGTAAAAGATTTTGGTTTCATCAAAAACAAAAATGAGCCCTGTGTTTACAAGAAAGTAAGTGGGAGCCCAATTGTATTATTGGTGTTGTATGTTGATGACATACTTCTGATCGGGAATGATATACCAAACTTGTCATTGATAAAGACTTGGTTATCTAAGTTCTTCTCCATGAAGGACTTAAGGGAAGTAGCCTACATCCTCGGAATAAAGATCTACCGTGATAGATTGCATAGGTTGCTAGGCCTAAGTTAGAGTCCTAACTTTGTTGGTCAACAACACTCTGTGTAGACTTTGCCAACTTTTGAATGGCCTCCTCTCATGGCTTAGGCTGTGAAATTTTTTGATTCAATGGTTTGAATCCTAGTTAGGGAGCTTGAGCTGTTGTGTCATTATGTTGAGGTCCTTGTGACCATGAAAAGTTAGGATGATCCCTCAATCCTGGGTTGTATGTATTTGACTTAGGATTGTAGGTAGGATGTTTTCACAATAGGTTAAGGGAGTTGAGTTTGGTCAGAGTATGTATCATGTTCAAGTTGGTTGTAAACAAGTGGCTTCAGATGGTTATTAGTTATTAAAGAGGCTAGCTGACGAGAAATTCCTTCCAACATGGCTTTCATTTCTTTAATTTATGAGTTTGATTCACCACTTTGGATTTCATACATCCCTCTTCTTTTCCTATCGTTCCTAGAAGACCAACTCCTCTGTCGAGAGTTATCTACTTGTCTTTGGCAGAAATCCTAAATTTCTATCGCCTCTTAGACATAAGCTCACCTCCATTTATTGCCATCAACCACTCTTGAACATTTGGCAACAATCCTTCCATAAAATATTGGCACTGATGCCATTTTTCAAAACCATGATGAGGACACTTCTAGAGCAACCCATTAAATCTCTCCCAAGCTTCATTGTATTACTCATCCTCCTTTTGTAAAAACTCAAAAATTTCCTTACGAATATGTAATATACTGTGTAGCTAGTAATTCTTTAAGAAAAAAATAACAAAATCCACCAAATAACTTTTATAGACATATATACATAATGTAAAATCCGAAAATTCTAATTTTAATTCATTTAAATATATACACAAAATAGTTGTTATACTTTAATAAGTACAACGTAGTCTTGGACAGTGCCACCAATCTCCTCCACTTCTTGACGTCCCACCTAACTATAAATCATCTAGTACCTGCAAAACAGTAAAATAACGGATTGAGCACTAATTGCTCAGTAAGTAAACGATATTGCACAGCCGTTCTTCCTCCATTACTCATGTTTTTATTTTCCTTTTCTCACTTTAATCTTTGCTAATATTCTTTATTCCTTTCTGACATTCTGCATTCTTTTCTAATACTCTGATTTGTTACTTATCAACATGCAAAGACAATGAATAAAACTGTACATCATCGAGCACATAAGAAATACTGAATCATGTAAGTAGCATAATACATATGTAGAATAATAAACTTTCCTGAGAAAAGAACTTTCTTTTCTTTTCTATTTTCTATCTCTTATGCTATATCTCTTTCTTTTCTTCTATGTTTCTCTTTCTTTTCTTTCTTCTTTCTGGTTTGCCGATTGGACTAGGTTGATGCATGGATTTGGAACCCTGGCCATGTGAGTGGATACAGTCCTCATTTACATGCGCTTCTGATAGACTGTACAAATATTATATCTCTTTGTTACTGCCGCTTGATAGTGGCGGTGTGCATGTAGGTATCTCTGCTGGGAATAGTCCTCATCCACATACACTACTAACGAACTGTACAAATATTGTATCTCTCTACTGTGGCCGCTCACTCTTGGCGGCGTGTATGTAGGCATCTCTGTCACTCACGGGTTCTCCATCGCAAAAAACCTTATAACATAGCATGTTGCAGAAAGAGAATAGAAAGAGATACTATACACATTTCAACATGAATTTCCAAGCTATGGAAATTCTACACTTGCATTCTTTAGTAAATTAGAAAATATACATACTTGCATGTTAGCTTAAAAGAAAATTACTAGTACTTTTCTTTTCTTTCTTTCTCATTCTTTGCTAACATATTCTTTCATATTCTCATTTACTAAATCAAGGCTATACATATATATCATGAGCACAATATATGCATGATCAAGCCCATTCTTTAATATGCTTTCCAAATTCACATATACAAACTTGCAAATTCATTATGGCATAATGGTATGTCATGACATATTCTACCATTCTAGACTATCACAATTCCCATATCAAAGTAACAATTTAACTTGCAATTCTTCTCTAACACTTTCATGTGCATTTCAAGAAGTAGTAAAAGTTCAAGTAACTAGAACCAAACACTAAGGGTCATTTCCCTCATGGAACTAACATGACCAAGTGATATTCTAAATTTTGGCATAACAATATGCACCCTTGAATACTAACATTTACACTTGGTTAAGCCCAAACATAATATTCCTACTTCAATTCTTGCCTTTCTCTAACCCTTTCTTCATTAGGGTTTAGCCAACTCATGCATGCATTTTCTCTTTAGATTTTCATCAAACACTTCATATGCACATGCAACTACTATGTTGGCTACACTTCCACAACTCTCTAATTCCACCAAATTGTGAGCCAAAAACTCACTAACTTTAGTATCAAACCTGGCCATTTTCAACAAATCTCAACACTTCAAAAATTTCAACACTAATTCTTCCATAACTTCACCAAATCATCACATAACCATACACTACTTATCATGGCTAGAAATTACACATCATTCAACATCAAAAACAGCCAACAATTCTCACACACAATCACATAAAAACATGCAAGAATCATACTACACAAGTCTTGCTCAAATCAAGGCTAAAATTAAGGTTTACTTACCTTGAATGTGTGATACCACCTCCTTTTGCTTAAAGTCTCTTCCTCTTGGATCTAAATCATAAAAAAATATAAAAAAAACCATAAGAATTTAGAACTTTAAAGTTTAATCACACTCCTTTTGCTAGAATCTTACCCTAGGATGCTTTAGGATTGAAAGTCTCCAAAAATTCATGCCAAATCCTATGATTTTCCTTTGAAATTTAGTGAAGAAAGTTGAGAGAAAATGGGGTAAAGGTGTTGTGAACAAGGGCTGCATATATGGCTAGGGTTTCTTCAATGAAACCTTTTATCTAATATTATACACAAGACTTCCCATTTTGCCCTTGCACTTTCTAGGAAATTCCATCTATGTCCTTTAGTCAATTACTAAAATACCCTCATTTTTATTATATTCTTCACATTATTTTGCTTCCTTTCACTTCCTACTTTTTTATCTAATTATGAGTGAAAAGATCATTTTACCCCTAATGAAGTTTTAAGGAATTTCCTTCACATTTGTCCAAGGTAACTTCAAAGAAATTCAACTAAGGGTATTAGGGCATAAATAAAATTACGTACCTTGGTGTGGGTGTTACAGAATAGAATTAGCCTTACGAATAGGAAAATATTTATTCAAAAATTTTGAACCATTTGTTCCCAGGATTGAATACTATCAGCTAGTAATGTGCTTAACCATGATCTAGCTCCATCTTTCAAGGAGAATGGAAACCATAAATATAATTACATACCTTGATGTGGGTGTTACAATTCTCCCCCCTTAAAAGAATTTTATCCCCGAAATTCAACTAAATAATTCAGGATAACGGTTGCGTACATCTTGCTCCACTTCCCATGTAGCTTCTTCTACTGTATGATTCCTTTATAGAACTTTTACTAGTGGAATACTCTTATTTCGGAGCTGTTTAACTTTTCTGTCTAGCATTGAATTGGGTGCTCCTCATAAACAAGATTCTCCTCTAATTCCACTTCTTCTGCTTTCAATGTATGAGAGAGATCGCTGACATACCTTCAAAGCATTGATACATCGAAAACATTGTGCACTCTATCCATATTTGGTGGTAGCGCTAGCTGGTACGCTACTTTTCCTACTCGTTGCAATACTTCAAAGGGGCCAATGTATCTAGGGGCAAGTTTTCCTTTACCACCAAATCGCATTACCCGCTTGTAGGGGGAAATCTTAATAAACACTTTATCAACCACTTTAAATTCTATATCCTTTCTCTTTAAATCTGCATAGCTCTTTTGTCTGTCTTGAGCTTGCTTCATTCTGTTCCTGATCAACTTAATGTCTTCCATCATTTTCTGAGTTATCTCCGGTCCAAGAGCTGCATTCAAAGCATCTTTCTCTCCTACTTCATCCCAATGTAGTGGGGAACTACATCGTTGTAACGCCCACATCGTGGTACGTAATTTTAGTTATGCCCTAATACCCTTTGTATAATTTTATTAAAGTTATCTTGAACAAGTGTGAAGAAAATCCCTTAAACTTTCATTAGGGGTAAAATGGTCTTTTCACTCATAATTAGTGGAAAAAGTGGGGAGTGAAAAGAAGTAGAATTTCATGGAGAATGTAATAAAATGAGGGCATTATGGTAATTGACTAAAGGACATAGATGGAATTTCATAGAAAGTGCAAGGGTAAAATGGGAAACTATAAATAATATTATGTTATATCAAGAGTTGAAGAATCAAAACCCTAGCCATTCTTCCTCCACTTTCACGCCACCTTCATCCCAAAATTCTCTCAATTTCTTCAATTCTTTTTCAAGGGAAATTCATAGATTTTGGGTTATTTTTAGTGGAATTTCAATCCCAAGCATCCTTAGGTAAGATCCTTACACTAAGAAGTGAGTTTTAATTTTTAAAGTGTTGAATTTTGATGATTTGTGTTCATAGGATTTAAGAGAAAGAGAGTTGGATCAAAGAAGAGTATTAAAGTGTTGGATCGCTCACATCTAAGGTAAGTAAATCCTACCCTAGTTATGATTGAAGCAATATTGTGTAGAGAATTTCTTTTATGATTATATGTGTTTTATATGAAGAATTGTTGATGGATTTGATGTTGAATGATGGTTAGAACTTATCCATAAGAAGTAGTATTTGTGTATGTGATGTTTGATGAGAGTTTGGATGAATTATGGAAGAATTGGAGTAGAATTTATGGAGTGTGCAATTTGGACAGGTTTGGTGTTAATCTTGGCAGATTTTGTTCTAGATTTTGATGGCTTAGAAAAGAAGTAGAAGTGTAGCTAATTTAGAGCTTAGATGTGCACATAAGTTGTTTGATGAAATGTCAAAGAGAAGTGCATGTATGAGTATAGTTATGTGTTGTTTTGAGATGAGCTAGTAGATGATAGAGAATGACATGTTTGCATTCCATATTGTATTCTTGCATCCAAACATGTGAATTTAGAAAGAATTATAAGGTGAACCCATCTACATGCATAGATACTCATAAGAGCATGAAAAAGCATTAAAGAACATTAAAAAGTAAATAGAAAGAGATGAGAATATTAAAGAAATTCAAATCTGAATTTTTGTTTAAAGAAGTGTAAAAAGATAAAAGAATAGAAGGTTGTTGCGATGGGGAACCCATGAGTGACATAGCCCCGCATGCACCCCTTTAGTGAACAGCCTCAAAATTCAGAAAGAAGAATTGTACAGTCTGTTAGAGAATACACTCATACGACTAGTGTTCCAAATCCATGCCTCAACCGGTTCCGATCGGCAAGAAAGAAAGAAAGAAAGAAAGAATAGAAAGCAAAGAAAGACAGAAAGAATAGAAAGAAAGAATAGAAAGAAAAGAATAGAAAGAAAGAAATACTAGAAATGTAACACCCACTTTGAGGTATGTCACTCATACATGCTTATTAGCCCTTAATGTTGATTGTTTGTCTTTGGTTAAGCTTGTATATTGTAAATAATGTTTGGTTGCCCTGATTTTGGTGAAGGATTGGCGACGTACGCTCTGTAATTTTTCGTTGAGGCGAAGAAAAAGCTTTGCTGGGGTGACGATCTGGCTGAATTTCTTGAGAAGTTTCTAGAGGAATTCTCCATAAGGGTAAAGTGACCATTCTACCCCTAATTAGCAGGAGAAGTGGAGAGT